TGTTCACACAACCCCGAGACATTGTCATAAATGTGTGTCATTTGTCAAGCATCCAGATGTAAATCATGTGACCATGGGGATGCTGCAACAGTCATAAGTGTGAAAAACGGTCATGTCATTTTTTTCAGACCCGTTGTAACTTTGAACACTAAGTGAAATGTTGTAAGACAAAGACTACCTGTATTGCTTTGCATCTGGATAGATAAAGGTTCATCAACTAATTCCTGCAGGTCAAACATTTCAAGGGATCTTTATTTATTTATTTACTTGATTTGTCAATTGTTTACAAGATAACAGGTATAAGTATAAACATGAGTAAGAATACAGGAAATAGGTACGAATAAATGGGGACAATAGGACAGGGACGGGAGGCATGATGGTGCTCTTATGCCCTTACAGACCTCTTAGGAAAGGGGTGAGGTCAATAGTGGATAGTTTGAGATTAAAGGAGTGGGGGTTTGAGGATGTAACAACAGAGTCAAGTAGTGCATTCCAGGCATTGACCACTTTATTGCTGAAGTCATATTTTCTATACACACACACACACACACAAACACACACACAAAATGGAAAGAATATGTTTCAAATTGAAAAAAACAGCTATTATGCTTTTTTCCCCTAACATCATACAGATTTTTTTTGCTATGGATATGCAGTCCAGGTGAAAATTTCATCACTTCTCTGATAATAATTAAGAATGTCTAGAGAGAGATGAATACAAGTTTGTTGTGGTCTATGTTATGATATAATGACTTGCCTTTAACATTTATCTTGAAGCCAGCACATTTTCAGTACTTCAGAACATAGGTGGTTGTCATGACAACTCCAGAGTGTTAAAAATGGCAAGTCAACGGTGAACAGGCATGAGAATTATTGTGTTGAAAGTGGGGGTGGGAGATGGAATGGGTTTCCCTCAGATTATTCTTAGAAATGTTTTTTCAGAGGCACTTGAATGAGAGAGTCATCTTATTTTAAAATAAGTCACAGTCTTTTAGTTTAGGAATTCTGAAATATTGTTTTGATGGATTTTATCCTTCTGTTTTCCAAAAGTGTCAGGCAGAACCTCACTACATGGAGATTTTTCCTTTTTTAATTTGTATAATTTTAAACAATTATTAACAATTGGTTCAGTAATCCTCAGTGCTGGGCTGAACAATCATTTGGTGACAGAGGCCACACTTAAATTTAAGGATTTATGTTCCCACCCACCTTGTGACCCTATTACATATGTGTATGAAGCTGCAATTTTTTTTTGTAGTTTTACATTTCTTTGATTTTTAATAGTGATATATTTATCTAGGAAGATATATTTCATTTTGATGTTAATGAATCATTCTAGAATAGTTATGGGGAAATGATCTGATTTTGGATTTGATAATGTATTGGCTGAGCTGCAGTCCAACACACCAAAAAGGCATCAATTGGGGAAGTGGGCTAGGAATAATTTCATTACCAGTTGAGGTAAAACGGGATAGTTGGAACATTCAGAAGTACATGGTCCATTAAAGACTGTATATGTAAAAGGTTTAAAAGTAGGCAACTTTCGGGAGCAGTCATGCAAGCCGCACACGGTTTGGTTTTGGACTTAAGATAGGAATCTGTTTGCTCTGTGGTTATGGGATGCAAGCTGTGTGTAAAAAGTTGCTCTCCCCAGGCATCTTCTTGCCCCTTGATATTCAAGTAGCTAGAGAAATGACAATGCTTTTTTCTTTTCCAAAACACATTAATGAAGACCTAAGAGCAATGGCATCTCAAATGTTGCTGATGAGATATCTGGGTGTTAGTTTTTTCTTCTTCTTGTGTTACTATTTTCTGTTTTGGTCTCATTGTTTCTTTTGCTTACCCAACTACAAAGTGGCATTTATACTGTTCATTTTTATTGAAGGTTTAACTTTAAACCAGAGATGTACTATACAACAAAATCCCAGGGATTTTTTTTTAGCTCTTAGCTGTAGTCCTTAGTGGTTTATGTCTTAGCTACAGTCCACAAACAACTCCAGATATTGTTACCAAATTATAACTTTCAGCGGGACAGAAGAGGAAGTGTATTCATTACATGACTGGATAATAAACATTTTACTTGTATTTAATTTTAATTATATGCAAAATACATTAAATCAGAGTTTGTGTTGAGGCAGCTTTACCCTTGACTTTTTGAAATGTGACTTTCAGTACTTTAAGGCCAGAAAAATTGCAAAATAATAATAATAATTAGAGGCCTAGTATTCATTGCCATTTCCTGATTTCTCTGTTACTTTTATACAATGAAAGGATTATTGTTGGTAGAGGAACTGTTGTAATGGAATATAGAATTATGAAGTTGAAAGGTGTCAGTAAGGCCATTTAATTTTATCTCTTGTTGTGTGCAGGAATCTGAATTATTTGTTGGGTTTGCTGCATCTTGGATAGGCTTTCTAGTCTCTGCTTGTACAGAACCAATGAAAAAGTACCGGTCACCAGTCTTCAGTTGAACTGCTCTTACTAGTAGGATTTTGTTTCTAACATTCAGTCCAACAATGGCTTCCTGTAACTGAGATCTATTATTTGATATTCTGTACTCTGGAATTGTAGAAAATAAGTCCTAATATAGGATTCTGTAGGACATTTTTTCAGTTATTTGTAGAATGCTGTGAAGAGCCTCTCTTTCATTTTTCTTTAAGATAAAACATACCTATTCCCTCTAACCTCTTTTATTAGGGTATAGTCTCTAGTTCCTCAGTTGTCTTTGTTGTCTTTCTGTGAATTTGTTCCACTTTCTCTTTAAGTGTGATGCCCAGAACTGAACACGATACTTGAGCTGGGATATTACTAAGGTAGAATAAAATGATTTATGATATTAACTGAGGTAAATTAGTAATGTGTGTTTTTGAATTGTCCCTAGTAACAATTGTAAATGTTGTCCTAAAAGCTTGGCAACTGATATGCCCTCTTCAGAAATTGGTTTTAAAAACACATACAATCACAGAGTTGGAAGGGGCCATTTAGAATTTTAGATCATTAGCTCAAATCTGTTGCAGGTTCAGGAATTCAGATTAAAGCATCTCTGATTGATGACTGTCCACATGTTTACATATGTGGGGAAAATATTCATTTAGTTCACATGAAGTGCAGACCTAATTTTAGAATGTAGCATTTTGACATTTTGTGATTCTATTGATGCATCTAATACTTTCACACACATCTTTCACATAAAATCTATAATAATTTAGATAATCAAGAAAGGATAGAATTGATTTCCCTCCAAATAAAGGAACCAAATGTCATTTTATACTTTCCTATCTGGGAAATTGTGCATTTTAAATTTTTTCCCTTTTATTTTTGTTCCATTGCTTTAACTGTTATTTATTTTAAAAATACTGTTGTAATGGTGAGCAGCTGACCCTTTAAATCAAAGCTAGTCTGATGTGCCCAAAAGGAGTCACTTCACCCTTTTGGTCCAATAAAGGAAAAGAAGAAGGTTCTGTCAGATTTGGGACAGGAAGGCTTTTGGGAGTTTTTGGAGAGACTTGGTTGGAATCCTGGATAAGGGCTTACCTCAGACAAGGTGGGAGATGGAACTGTTTTGGCTATAGTTAAAATTGCATTAGGATGTTTTGCATTTAATTTTAAACACTGATTGTATGTATTTAGAAGATTTTTTTGCCATGCTCACTAAAGTTGACTTTTTGTTTCAGTCCTGACTGGTTGCTTTCTTTGACCTGCTTCAGCTTGGCTGAGGTACTAATTCCCAAGTTTACATTTCCCCTTCTGTATCTAGATTAAAATTGGGTGAGGATTTCCCTTTCAACCCTCTCCTGGTTCTCCAGAGGAAGGCTGGTGTGGAAGGGAGAAAAAGGTTTATAACAAAGAGTGATGGCAGTAGAGACCTAATGTGCTCTTTTAGCTGTAGGTGCAGGTTACCTCAGAAGCTAAACATCTTCAGAAAGAACAGTTGGTTTGACCCTGAAAGGGTCTTTCTTATTATAACTCTAGATTTAGAATAATCCAAAACATATTTCACTACTGATACTAATTTGGGAATGTTAGGTGTTGTTAATCTATCTACACTAAATTGTAAAATGAAGAGACATTTTACAATTTTAACATGTACTGTCACAATGTACTGCCATTTTGCAATTTTAGACAATCCAAATTGCTCTTGCAATATTTCAGTTTGTTTAAAAAATGATTAGCAATCAACAGATGGATAGTATCAAGACTGTAGGAAGTAGTAGTATTGTTTATACCACGCTGGTAAGGCCATATTTAGAATACTGATTCCATTTCACTGGATGGAGAGTCTGGACATTAATTCGTGGTAGAGATTGTATTTTGTAGGCAGAATATCCTAAGTCTAGTATGATATAATATACAGAGGTTTAGATTGGGAGGTAGTTAAGTGAAAAGAACCTTTTTCAGAGGAGAGAAAGAGATGAGCATTCTATTTGCTCTTGGGAGAAAAACTGAATCTGATTCATTCAGCCTAAAACAATTTTATAAACTAATGTCATGCTTTTTTAAAATTCAATTTAATTCTTTCCACTCCTGAATGTGAATTGAAATCCTTCTATTCAGAATGATGTTTGTGTTTTCTATCTGTATAGTCCACTAGGGATAAACAACCTGAAACTCTTCAGGCTTTTTGAACAATAAGGGCCAGACTTATTGAAGTTGTGATCCTTATGCTGGCTGAATGTTATGGGAGTTATAGTCTAAAGTATGCTAAGATTGCTTTCATTGCAATATTGTAATAGGGGATGCTACAATCAATAGCAGGCTCTCATATGGATAAGAAAGGGGGCTCATTTGCCTCATCTTCCATACCTGTATATTTTGGAGAATGAATGGGCAATATATAAACTTCCAGTGTATTTCAATATGGCTAATGCAGAGGATTAATGGGAGTTGCCATTCATCAGAGTTCGGAAGGCCACCTGTAACCTACTCCATTTCTAGGAAAAAACAACAACAATACTTCTCTTGTGATGACTGATAACTAATTTATCCCCTTTTCATTCAAGATGTTATCCAATGTTGCCATCTATCTGTGCACCATCTGTGTGGGTATCATGTCTTACTACATGGCAGACCGCAAGCACCGCAAAGCCTTCCTAGAAGCTCGGCAATCTCTGGAGGTCAAGCTCAACCTTGAGGAACAAAGTCAGCAGCAGGTAAGAATCAAAGAGTTCCGTCTGCAGCTTCTATTTTGTTTCTGGATCATATCCACATGGGCAATTCAAAACTTGAGTTTAATATCTAAGAAAACCCATTTTCTTAGTTTTTGATTTCTAGATTTGTATGTAGGTACATATGAATGTGCATGACAGAACTATTTTTGCATCAAATTTACTGGGCCCATCTCTGAGAAAGTTACTGGCCCAATTCTAGCTCACTTGTGAGAGCCATATTAGTTTCTATTCAGAGGATTTTGCCTCTTTCCTGGAGTTCAGAACTTCTCATTTAAGCTTGCATCTCATTGGGAGGATTCTTCCTTGTTTATACTATTATAGATTAGCTGTTTTCAGTGAAATCAAGAAAGAGGCTATGGTGACATTGCTGTTCCCATAGCAACCCATTTCTCTGTATCTGCTATCAAAGAATAACCCTCTCCAGGCCCTCAGTAAAAATGCACTTAATAATCAAATTATTTTCATTCGGAGCAATTCCCAAAACTAAATTAGAATCTGCTTTTGAAGCAGAAACTTCATGAAGATGGCTAACTGAATAAAATTAATCCTCAATTTGACAGAATATTCCTTCTGCATTCAGCTTGTCTTCTCTTGTGAGCCGATGCTAAATTAGACTCTAGTTGTGGTCTCGCCATTGAATTAAACAGAACAGATAGGATGAGCTGAATCCAACAATGCCTTTCAGATGGAGCACAGAGGAAGGTCGGATTTAGATTGAAGGTTTCTAATGTAGCTGGAAGACAAGCCATGCAGAGCTATAAAAATTAAAACTTATATTTTGAATTGTATTGAAATTGTATTGTATTGAATCTATTGGTAACCAGTGCAGTACTCATAATATGGATGGAATCCTGTTAAAGAAACCCTTGCCAACCAGTAAGTGAACTGATACATTTTGAGCCAACAATAGTTTCCAAATAATTATTCAAAAGGAAGCTGCAAGTTATATAAAAAACTTGAGTTGTATCTTATCTGTTCTCAGCATTTTCAACTCACCAGTAATCTGGCTAATTAAGAAAGACATGAGATGTAATTAGTTTGATAGGCTTCATCTTCAAACACCATAAACTGGTACATAGAGAACTAAAATAAAGATACACCAAGATCTTTCTTTCTGATATAGTCTGAATTATCTTTCATGTGTTGAATTTTTTGCAGTTTAAAACTAGAGAAATAATTCATTCATAGCTCGAAAAGTGGGTTTTGAACCTCTGATTATAATTAAAAATGTTTTTTTCTGACATGAATATATTAGATTTTCAGAAAAACATGTTGCAGAGTTAAACTTCTGTATCTCAGCAATTTATCTGGGGAGGGGGGAAAGGAAGGAGGGGGGGAGAGAGAAAGTGTGTTAATCTCAAACAGAATATTGGAGACAGGAGAGAAAAATTATTTAAAATTGTTCAGGTGAGGCATATAAAGTTCCTAGTCCTGCATTAATGTTGGCAACAACATTTTTTCCTGTGATTATGAGTAATAATGGTAAAATTTAGCGTGGGTGAGATCTGAAAGCTGAAAGTTCTTTTGCAAAAGAGGTCAGTAGGTCTTTTGTTGGCTTGGTGTAAAAACACAGCAGAACTATGTCCTAAAAACGAATGCAATATATTTAACCACATTAAGAAATACTGCAAAGTGATACCGGTTTAAAATGTTGCTTCCCAGCGTACAGTACAATATTTTTTCATAGACATGACAGATGATAGGCTTGTGTTGCCTCAGTGCAAATAAACAAACAAACCTACAAGATATCTTTATCAATTTGTTTAGGTCTACAGTACAGGGACAAAATTAGTCTTCCACTTTTATTTTTCTACTAAAGCCTTCCAACTTTTTTCTTGTCCTCCCTCCTTTTTATTGTAATGCCATGAATCAGGATATATTATATTATTTCATTGCAGATTATAATGCAGTGATGTTTATATAATATGATTAAAAAATAACATTCTATTATTTAAATAACACAAAGTATTAAACTAAAAAAGTAAAAGTTCTGTCAGTATTAATTGCCATGATGTCAAAGGGTAAGAGTATTTAATTTTTCATCCAAAGTTGAATATAAAACATTATATTCATTAAAGTATTAATTTTATGATAGTAGTTTCAGTGCTGAACTAAAAGTTTAAATATTTGTATTGTTACTTATATGTGTAGGTGTGTATGTATGTTGATAAAAAGAAATAAAAGCTAGATGAAACAAATTTAATAAAAGTTAAAATACTAAAAGATAGGGTAAAAAAGAAAAAGGGAATTTTAAAAACTTATTGATTTTTTATACATTTATTAATTTGCAATGTTTGTAAGCATTCGGGCTCTCTTAAAAACCAGAATATAAGTGGTTATAATTATCATGTTTCTTGATATATTGTATGCAAGGGAAACATTTCTGCTTAAATTTATTTAAACTTCCATTGTGTCAGTTATACTGTTAGTTTTCCCCTTGCTGTGCATTCTTCAGTTTTAAGTTCCCAACTGGACAATTTTCAGGACTGTATTTTTCTGTTGGGATGGATTTTCAGGAGGGAGGACCAAGAGATAGTGAAATTTAGATTGTTTGGGAAAAAGAGGGTCAAGATAGCTCAATTCATAGGAATTCTTAGAGTATATCTTTAACAATGAAAGCTTAGTTTTGCAAGATTTCTCTTTATAGGTGAGAAATACTGTAATAAGGGAAACTGCTTAAAATATCTCTGCAAGTCTTCCATGTTTTGGGGGTTTGTTCTGACAGTTTTTTCCCCAGTGTTGAGCAAAATTTATCCTTAGATAAATTAAATTTAGATTTAGATTTCATTAAATTATGGTATTTCTTGTTATTTTTTTGCAGACTATACCTAATAGTTGTGGTTTCATTTCAAATTTATATTCCAAAATTTTCTACATTATACTATGCAGATCTTTTCAATACATTTGAGGTCTTTTATAAGACTTTTATACATTCTCTTCTGATTTTGCCTAAGTAAGTAACTGTTTTGGTGATAAATAGCAGTTCAATGAGTAAGAGTCTGATTTTTCAGCAAGGCAGCAGTATGGGGGGAAAATGTTTAAACTTCTCTCACCTGTGTTGAAAATCCTGATCAGTATTGGGAAATGGGAACTATAATTGTGTTTTGTATTCAAGGATGCTGTTAACTAAGATCTAGTTTCACTTCAGAGGTAAAATAGAAACTCCAAATGCCTAAAGATCAAGACACATTCTAGTCTACCCTTGAGCAGATGGAGAAGGAATTATACGTCTTGGTTTGGTTTCAAAATGCAACATTTTTAGTGTATAATATTTTGGCTGGAGGCTTGTAAACAACGTGCCAAGCACGTTGCTGGATGAAGAGAATGCATACTGAAAGATTCAAAACAACATTTTCATTTCAAACTGCAAGCGGTTTAACATATATGCTTTACTTGTGCTGATAGAGATTACGAGAAAAGAAGACTATTAGAAGAAATTCCTTCCGTCTCTTTTAACAAAATAAAATGTTTCTGTTTTCCTTCCATCCCACAGTTCCAATCAGATCTGTCCATTTCTTGTAATTGAACCTTGATGTAAGATGGAGTCACTATGGCAACCCATTTCCAAGACAGCAAAAGGCAAATATTTCCAGATTAGTCAAACTGTTGGTATCAGAAAAAAATACAGAGAGCAACAAGGAAAGGTTTCTTTGTTGCCCAGGCATAAAGATGAGTTTTCTCTGTTCAACAAATTTATCCTACCGGTATCTCTCCTGAGTTTTCACTGAAAATTATAAAAGCTTCTGGGTTTGATTTTAAGATAGGCAAGCAAAGAGAATAAAGGCAGACATGTCTCTGATATATAGTTTGATTAGACCGGTTGATTTGGTTGTTTAGACTTTATATAATATATAATAATATATAAAATATATGGGACTTGTAGCAGGCATCTTTCTGAGATACGGTTTGCCAATCTTGACTTCTGTTAGACTGCTGCATTCTGGCCTTCCTTCTTCACTCTGTTTTCATAGAGACATAGAAGTTGCAATGGTCATTTAGGCCAGCGGTCGCCAACCGGTGGGTGGGCCGCGAGAAAATTTTGGTGGGCTGCAGAGAAATCTCACCCCCCAAAGCAATTAATCCAGGCTGCGCAGAAACACAAGGCTGCGCCACCCACATTGCCCACGGGAACCCTCCCCGCCCACTCACTCCTTACCCGGTAAACTTGCCTGCTAAATTGCTATTTTTCCTTTTTCCGACCATCATCTGTTCTGCTGTGCCAGGAGATTTAGATTAGCTAGGAAATAGGAAATGGTTGGATTTCTTGCTTTCTAGCTAGTCTTTAGATCTTCGGCTCAGCACAGCCAAACCTTCCTTAGGACTGAAGGTTTGCTTACAAGCAAAATCAGTGCAGACTCACGGCAAGCAAATTTGAGAGACTGAGCTAGCCAATGGCAGATAGATAGATCACTGAATGATTCTGTGAACAACTCAATCTGCCTGCCTGCTTTTGGGTAAAAGTTGCTCTTTTTAAAAAATAAAAAATCAATATTTACATGCATGGTGTGTTGTAAATTAATTTTGTGAGTTTGCTTGCAAGCAAATTTTATGTGACAGACTGAGCTAGCCAATGGCAGATAGATAGATTTCTGAATGAATCTGTGATTCTGTGAGCAACTCAATCTGCCTGCTTGTTTGCCTGATTTTGGGTAAAAGTTGCTCTTTTTTAATAAAAAATTCAATATTTATATAAATATTCATAATATTTATATACAAGCCATGCCCAGCCAGTCACATGACCATCAAGCCACACCCACAAATTAGGCCACACCCACAGAACCAGTTAGTGGTCCCTGGGATCTAAAATTATGAGTTTGGTGGTCCCTGAGGTCCAAAAGGTTGGCGACCTCTGATTTAGGACATGAATCTGACTTATTATTCCAGCTGGTATTCAGGTAAAAGTATCCTGAACAGAGGGATTCTAGCCTTTGCTGAACTCATTTAATGCATGGGAGCCCATCACTCCTGATAATTCAAAATTG